GAAGTTGGATGACACAACGTGAGCCCAAGCCGAGGTGGGCTACCACATTTCCTTAGTCATTGTACAAAGAAGCAGTATTTCACACAAGACGAGAGGCGGCTCGGATTCGATCAAGTGGGACTGCCGTAGAGACCATGTTAAGAAGCCATTGCAGTCTAGAGCTTATTCCGACACTCGGCCACTCTAAAAAAACGCACACTGAGCTGACAGCGAGGTCCGAATTATCCTGTCAATTGGCAACTTTCCAGGTTACAGCGTTTAGTATCAGATTATTTATAACGATGAGAGTCGATGTAGACCTGGGTTAAGGATATGTCTTATTTAAGTATAGACAAACGTCTTAAGGGTCCCCTAGAGACAACATAACGTTTTTTCAGCTAGCTGGAGAACGGTAGCAAAAGGGAATAAAAGTACAAAGGTTTTCGTTTGAAAACAACATCCCGTTACTATCATTTGCTCTAAACTTAGCCTTAACTAAAACGAAATCCGCCCAGGTATTTCCATGGTTGATTACCCTGGAAAACGTGAACAAGTTTTAAGAGGATACTAATACAATCGTTCTAAGACATAGATTGGGCCGATGCCCCTGATTGAAACGTTTACGGTTATTGTTCTCACTGAAGGACAGTAGAACGGTATTCCGCTTCTCTAGCTAAACAAACTGGCATGGTACACTCGTTAGACCGCTTTTGCGAATTATCTCGCAATTATATTACTACAGTTCGCCTAAAGCCCAGCTGGTCATCCATTTTTATGTAAGGCATCATCGTTCATGAGGCCATTATTACTGACCAAAGGTTCGCATACGAGGGTATCGATTCGTAAAAAGCATTGCGAGAGCATGTCACAAAGGAAAGCGAGCGTGTGGATGCCAGTCTCACGGATAATGCTAATTTGATACCAATTGGTCTCACTGGTGCTCCGAAGTTTTCAAAAACCATCCGGGTGGCCATAAGATATTCTAAGGTGACTGGGGGTGAACGGACTAATCAGTTCATAAAGAGATTGGCATATCATACTGCATTAGATGTGAAGGGTCCGGCCGCACCAGCC